GCCCTGCCAATTTCTGCCCCAGGATCCATGTTCTCAGAAGGCCAAGATGTGCTTGCCTCAGTGGTATCACCGGGATCAGTTGTGTGTGACACAAGGAACAAAGGATGCCACCTCTTAAGTCCTTGGTGTGCCCCCGAGGTTATTCTGGATTGGCAGTGATGAACTAGTAATTAGACAAATCTTTTATAACCCTTAGGAGTTAATTGTTGTTTTGGCATCGTCCTTTGCTTCAGAAGCTTTTTTACTTCAATCTTCGTAAATTGGAAGCAAAGCTGGTTTTGTCTTTTTCCCCTGTCTGAGATACATACATCCTTTTGTCAGTTTTCCTGGTGAGCTAAGTGGAAGAAGAGGAGTACATGTGATGTGCTGTGACTTCGCTGCCATGCTCCTTGTGCCGAAGTACAGGCTCTTTTGCTGACAAGTTGTCTGTGCTGTGGGTTAGTCACAACCCATTTCTCAGCTTTTTTTGCTGGCACAGTGTTCTTCACTATTGCTTTGTGGTGTTTAACACTTTCTTTCTGTTGTTTCTGATGCTTACACACAGGTTTCTATCCCTAATTCATTTACATTGATCTTACTACTTCTGTTACAAAGCTCTACAATCTGAGTTGTATCAGAGATGGATTCAGTCTATTTCTTCAGCCTTTTCTTCTTCCTATAATAAAGCAGGGAATAAAATAAAAAGGAGATTAGGAAAAACACTCCTTTCACTGATAACAATGCCAGGTATCCATACCTGGGAAAGATAGACTGCTTAAGTAGCTTGTTAACTAGCATGGTTTTAAGAAGGAAACAAACAGTGCAGTGTTCTATTTTACAGATTCAGTGTAAATTTAGAATACCTAGAATAGTCTATTCAAGTTAAGGTAATCACAGAAAGTAAGTAGTGCTAGTGATAACCTGTTTGTCAGTTATATAGTTTATTGTTTCTTATTGACTCAAACATCATAGTTTTTTTTCAGCTATATTCTTAGAGGTTGTATTTTAAATTAAACAATGTTGCAATGTAACACTTGTTTTAACAACTAAAAAACTCATTATTCTTCCCAAAACTGAAGGTCCTGGAAGCCCTCAAGATCCCAGCCTGGTACACATTAGAAATCTGCATTAGTTTCTGATTAGCTTAAGGCATGTTTACCTGTGTAGAAGTTCCTTTGGAACTTTATCCATGTCACCAGTGAAGCTGCAGAAGAGCAGTAAAGTACCTTTTTTTGAAAAGTAAACTACCAAACCCAACGTAAAATCAATGCGGAAAAAAAATGAAGCATTATGCTCTAAGTTTTAGGGAAGCATTAAACAATGAGGCAGCAGTCCCTAAAATGTGTATGTTCCCTTTATGGCAATTTCATTGTTCATCTTTTTTCTTCATCAGGATGTAAAGCTGCAATTTATTGCAGCCACATTTGATGCAGCAGGAAACTTTCTTAAATGGCAAAGTTTGGAAGGAGGCATCTTACAGGTATGTTAAATTTTAATTATCTTTTGTTGATACCATGAGATCCTGCTTGCCAGATTAAGACAAAACCCAAGAATTTGGTTACGACACTTGTGACCATTGACAGAGATAGGGAAAATTAGCTAGAAGATACACAGTACCCTCTGTCCTCAGATTTCAGTGGCACACACATTTTACTTCAGCAGTACCATGCTGTATAGATAGGGTGTAAAAAGCCCAAGTCATCAGCAAGTAGAAATCATAATTAGCATTAGTGATTAACCCAACAGCAGAAATTGGCAGCTCCAAAACAAGTTACAGAATAGAATTTGTTTAGCAGTCCAGTGGTGTTCTAGGCACTCTTCTCAATTCCCTAGGCAGGCCACAATAGGAGCAGTAGCAAGAACAATTGTGAATTGTCTGTCCCTTTTTCTGGGCTCTTCATGTCACTTCAAATGGTCCAGTATCTACAGAAGAGTAGCTGGCACTGAGGATTGAGCTAGTGACTGCTGTGTCCTTTGTTACTGGCTCAGGATGAGCTGTCTTCCATCTCCCTCACAATTTTTAAGGAAAACCTAATGTCCGAGAAAACAAGTTACTAAGCCAATTATTGTGCATAGGAAATCATATATTCTGGCATAGACTTTAAGATTTATTTGGGCACATTAATTTCCAAAATGCAGAGCTTTTAGTAGCTATCAAAAATCAATGGGAGCAATAGCTTTTTCCTTTTAAAGCCTTTCCAGTGTAATAAATTGTGTTTGGTGATGGCATCACAGTGCTAAAGCCATCTCCGTGCATAATTGTAGCAATCTCCACAATTTCAGTTGTACACTAATAGAGTTGTGTTCTATGTAAATTTAGAGTATTTTCATTTGGGCAAAATGGCTATGTCCTCCACTAAGTGCCGTGCTCACTTTTTTAGAATTTTGGGTCCAGTTTGAAAGACCTGTTCTTTGCAGCAAATGTAACAGTTACATTGAAAAAGGTAAAAAAGTGTACTTGCCTTAATAACTTTGATCCTCTGAGAATGAAGAGAAAGGGGGTAATGTGAATGTGGTGTTCTTTCCTTATGGGATTCTTGGATTCAGCAGAAACCACTAATAAAGCTCAAGGCAGCACGTTACATTGAATATTCAGTCCACAAAAAGATTCTTCTTGCCTGGTTGGGTGCTGCTGTCCACAGATTTCAGCTTCAGTGATGGAACTGAAAAATACTATGCAAGTATGAATAAGCTAAAACAGTTTTAAGAACACCAGTATTAGTACAATAAATAATCATGTTTACTTTTCAAAATCAGTCTCTGTCTTCTTAAAGAATAGGACAATATATCTTTTGCCACAGCTGTGAATACATAAACTGCTTGGGGTACCTGTAAATACTTCATGTGAAAAAATTATATCTTTGAATCAACCTAATTTTAGCTATATTTTCTTTAGCTTTGTCCTGACACCCAAACTAAATTGAATGCAGCATATGCATTTGGAACAACTTACCAACAAAGTGTAAGTAATGCTACTGGGGATTTTGAATTAAGTTGCTTTATATGTCATCAGTAATTCAGTGCATATTGAAGGACCTCTGAAGTTTAGCCATAAGCTGCAACATGGACTTCTGTCTTGTGAAACTGTTGCTTCTTATAATAATTTGCTTAGTGCTGAGTGAAATAAATTTTTTAAAAATTATTTAACTATATTTTAAAAAACTTCTTTTCTACAGAGGATAATAAAAATAAATCAAACTGTCATTTGTATTAGTGAGGTTGCTGACTTACCAGTGGAAGAACACAATGCCTGAATTCTGACAGTCAGATACTTTGCCTTGTAACTTCTGAGTTGCCTGCCTCTGTCTGTAGCCAGCTTTCATATGGAAAGAAGGTGTGTGCAATCCTGCCATGCCTTGTTGTTGTCCCCATTAACTCATTAATGTGTACTCTGATTTCAGTGAATTCAGTAAGGAGATTAAAGGCAAGTTTTAGTCAAAAAGAAGATTAATTAGAGGAAAGATTGGTGCTTGGTCACCCTCGCAGTGAAAAAGTGTTTCCTGATGTTCAGAAAGAACTTCTTGTGTTCCAGTGTGTGCCCATTGCCTCTGGTCCTGTCACTGGGCATCACTGAAAAGACCCTGTCTCTGTCTTGCACACCCTCTCTTCAGATATGTGTCCTCCCTGAGCCTTCTCATCTGCAGGCAAAACAGTCCCAGCTCTCTCAGCCTTTCCTCACAGGAGAGATGCTCCATCACCTTAGTGGCCTGTGGTAGACTATATCAAGTAGCTTCATTTATCTCATGCACTGATGAGCCCAGAACCAGTCATGGTAGAATGCTGGGGTCTGAACCCCGAGCCCCAAATTAAGGTTGACATATGGGTGATTCCCACAGCCCTTCATACAGAGGTGGTGAGTTTGCCTTATAGCTTCCCCCCAGGGTGCGGCCGGCCCTGCAGGGAGAGACATAAGGGAAATGAGCCCCAGGGGTCCCGCACTGAGTTGACAAAGGTCAGGTGTCTGCTTGGGGATAAAAGGTGGGACCACTTGCAGGGAGTCAGGAGTGTCTGTCTGTGGAGTGCACTCCACAGAGCTTCCTGGTTCA